AGGACAACTAAATAGATTATCAAAAAGGGATTCATAACAGAATTTTAAATTCCCATGGAATCCTGACTTTTTTGTATCCCATTGAGCCTCAAATGACCTGAAACTATTGTCTTTAGATATTCTTGAAAGCTTAAACCGAAAATGTTCCATGAGACCTTCTTTAAATCCAAACTAGTGTAACTTAGTTAATAAAGAATGTCTGCTCTTAAAGAACTATCTGTATGGGGTCAAATTGACAACACCAGGAAAGATTAAATAGGAACTTTAGGGGGTAGTGAATTTATGTTAATGGGTGAAAAACAACTCAGAAAAGGAGGCGAGAATTGTTGAACAACCTGAAAAAATGTATTTAGTGTAACGGACTTGTACATGTAGAATGTGTTGAATTGGTATATGTTTTGCTATACATATTTTCAACAGCCATTTAAACAAAAAAGAGGAGAGGGAGAATTGCTGTTGTAGACACATGTTTAGAATACTGCAAATGGAACAGCATAAATTTAGCTAAGAGGCAAAGTTGGGGAAATGCAGAAGGTGTTTTAGAAGGTCCATGGTTAGCACAGCTGAGATTCCTCAGCAATACAGCTGGCCATGGAAAAGTTGACATAGGTGGAGAGTAGAAGGATCATGCCCAACTCTTGATTGATGGGGTAGTTGGTTGGTTGTGATTGAGTCTGTTCCAACTCATAGCAACCCTATGCACAACAGAGGAAATGCTGCCTGGTTCTGCACCATCCTCACAATTGTTACATTTGAATCCATTTCTACTGCCACTGTGTCAGTCCATCTTGGTAAGAGTCTTCCTCTTTTTCACCGACCCTGTACTTTACCAACCATGATGTCCTTCTCCTGGGACTGGTTCTATTCTGATACCATGTCCAAAGTATAAGACCAAGTCTTACCTTTGTAACTTCTAAGAGGCTTTCTGGCTGTATTTCTTACAAGACAAATTTGTTCTTCTGGTAGTCCATGATACTTTTAATATTCTTCTTCAGCATAATAATCCAAGTGCATCAATTCTTCTGTGATCTTCCTAATTTGTTGTCTAACTTGCATATGCTTATAAGATGATTGAAAATATCATGGCTTGCGTCAGGTGCACCTTAATTTTCAAACTGATCTCTTTGTTCTTTTACATTTTAAAGAGGTCTTTTGCAGTAGATTTGCCTAGTGCAATACGTCATTGATTTCTTGACTGCTGCTTCCCTGAGTGTTGATTATAGACCCAAGCAAAATAAAATATTTGACGACTTCAGTCCTTTCTCCATTTATCATGATGTAACTCATTGCTCCAGTTTTGAGGATTTTTGTTTTCTTTACATTGAAGTACAATCCATACTGAAGGCTGTATAGCCTTTGATCTTCATCAGTAAGAATTTTATGTCCTCTTTTCTTCCAGTAAGCAATGCTGTAGCCTCTGCATATAGCAGGTTATGAATGAGTCTTCCTCCAATTCTGATGCCATCTTCTTCTTCATACAATCCATCTTCTTGAATTATTTACTCAGCATACAGATAGAATAAGTATGAATACAACCCCAGCACATACCTTTCTTGATTTTAAACCATTCAGTATCCCCTACTTCTGTCTTGCCTACCTTTTTGTCTATGTACAGGTCTTTCATAAGCATGATAAGTGTTTTGGAATTCTTTGCAATGTTATTTATAGGTCATCATGATCCACACAGTAGAAATTCTTTGCATAGTTAATAAAGCACAAGTAAACATGTTTCTAGTATTATCTGATTTCAGAAAAAATCCTTCTGACACCATCAATGATAACCCTACTTCCAAGTCCTCTTCTGAATCTGGCTTGAATTTCTGGCAGTTCGCTGTCAATGTGCTGTTGTAACCAGTTTTTAAATTATTTTTAGCAAAATTTTACTTGCATGCAATAGTAATGATATTACCCAATAATTTCCACATTCTGTTGGGTCTCTTTGTAATGAGCACAAGTATGAATCTCTTCCAATTGTTTGGCAAGGTAACTGTTTTCCACATTTCATGGCATAGATGAGTGAGCACCTCCAATGCTACATCAGTTGCTGAAAGACTTCAATTTGTATTCCATCCATTCCTGGGACCTTGTTTATTGCTAATGCCATCAGTTCTGCTTGCACTTCTTCCTTCAGTACCATTAGTTCTTGATCATATGCTTGAAATGATTGAGCAATGACCATTTCTTTTCAGTATGGTGGTTCTGTATATTCCTTCCATCTTGTTTTGATGCTTTCTGCATCATTCAATATTTTGCCATATAATCCTTCAATATTGCAAGGTGAGGCCTGGAGTTTCTCTTCAGTTATTTCCAGTTGAGAAATCATGACTGTGTTATTGCTTTTTGGTTTTCTTTCTCCAGATCTTTGCACATTTCATTATAGTACTTCACTTTGTCTTCTCAAGCTGTCCTGTGAAATTTTCAGTTTAGCCCTTTTATCTCCTCTATTCTTCCATTCACTTTAGCATCTCTACATTGGAGATGTGTCTAATGCATCAAATCTGTTCTTGAGATGGTCTCTAAATTCAAAAGGAGTGATTTTCAAGGTCGTATTTTGTTTCTTGTGGACTTGTTTAAATTTTCTTTAGTTTCAAACTAAAGTTGCTTATGAGCAATTGATAGTCTGTTCCAGTCTGCCCCTGGCCTTGTTTTGGCTGATGATATGGAGCTTTTCCACGGTCTCTTCCCATGGTGTAGTCAGTTTGATTCCTATGTAGTCCATTTAGTGAGGTCCATATGTAGAGTAGCTTTCTATGTTCTTTTAGAAAAAGATATTTGCAATGAATAAGTCATTGGTTTTGCAAAATTCTGTCATGTGATCTCCAGTATCATCTCTATCACCAAGGTCATATTTCCAACTACTAATCTTTCATCTTTGTTTCCAACTCTCATATTCCAATCACTAGTAATTAGCAATGTGTCGATTGTATGTTTTTTCCATTTCAGACTGAAGAAGTTGGTAGAATTCTTCAGTTTCATCATTACTGGCTGTAATGGTTGGTGCATAGATTTGAATAATAGTGGTTATTATTCTCCTTCATAGACGGTATGTATATTATCCTGTCACAGACAGCATGTGCTTTAAGATAGATCATCAGATGTTCTTTTTGATGATGAATTTTTCTTGAATTTGTTGTTCATAGATTGTCAGATTCAAAATAGCCAATGCCACTCTGTTTCAGCTCACAAATGCCTACGGTATCCCTGGGTAAGAATATCATGCTAGGTGAAGTGGAGGATCAGTGAGAAAGCAGTAGAACCCCTATGAGATGGATTGGCAGAGTGGCAGCCACAGTGGTCTCTAGCTTAGCTATGATTGTGAGCATGGTGCACAGGGCCACTATGAATCACACCTACTTCACGTCACCTAACAACAATACCTAGGCTATCAATCTTTAGAAATGCCATTGCATTTTTGGCAACTTTCAATTTTCCTAGATTCATACTTCATACATTCTGTGTTCTGATTATTAATGGATGTTTGCAGTTGTGTCTGTTCATTTTGTGTTGTGTACTATCTCAAATTAGGTTCTGGAAGTTTTGCTCCATTCACACCATAATGATAAAGTCTTTGAGGAGGCCTCTCTCTCCCAGTCATATTTTGTGTGCCTTCCATCCTGAGGGATTCATCTTCCAGCACTATATCTGTCAATGATCTGCTGCTTCCAGCATCACAGCAACATGCAAACTGCTCAACTGACAGATGAATGGTGGTTATGATGATGTGGTGATGGTTGTGTGCCATCAAGTCACTTCCAACTCATAGCAACACTGTATAGGGTTTCTGAGGCTGTATATCTTTACAGGAGCAGAAAGTCTCATCTGTCTCCCATGGAGTGACTGGTAGACTTGAACTGCTGACCTTGTGGTTAGCAGCCCAGCTCATAATCCACTATGCTACCAGGGCTCCATATGATGTGCAGTATGTTGTTGTTGTTGTCAGGTGCCATCGAGTCAGAACCGACTCACAGCGACCCCATGCACAGCAGAACGAAACAATGTTCGATCCTGGGCCAACCTCACTACCGCTGCCACACTTGAGTCCATCAATGATGCCACCTGGCTGATCCATCTCGTTGGGGGTCTTCCTCTTTTTCTCTGACCCTCCACCCTACCCAGCATGACATCCTTCTCCAACGATTGTTTCCTCCGGACAATATGTCCAAAGTAGGAGAGACGAAGCTTAGCCATCCTGGCCTCCAAGGAGCACTCTGGCTTCACTTCTTCCAAAACAGATCTATTGGTTCTTTTGGCAGTACATGGCAGTATAGGATGTCTTAAATGTTTTCTAAAAGTATCTTTATGCTTAGAAAATTTACCAGAATGTATTAGCGTAGTGGTTATGAATCGGACTGCTAACCTCAGGGTCAGCTGTTCAAAACTACCAGCTGTTCTGCAGGAGAAAGATGAGGCTTTCTGCTCCCGTAAAGATTTACAGCCTCGGAAACCCTGTACAGGGTCGCTATGAGTCTGAACCAACTCCATGACATTTAACAACAACATAGTTTTAAAGAGAAATCTATGGAAGTCAGTCTATGTGTGAGTGTCTTCCTAGAGTCACCAATGGATAATCTCAAGAGTTGTTGTTGTTAGGTGATTTTGAGTCAGTACTGACTCTTAATGACCCTGTATACAACAGAATGAAATACTGCCCGGTCCTGCACCTTGATATTTAAAATCTAGTCAAGTGTGACCAGCTAGACTTGCCCTCAAACTTTAAACTACAGTGCCAACCCCTCACTCAAGAAGATACTTCATAAACCTTTCGAATAAATCAGTGTTTTGCTTCATGTTTTGGGGTATCACTTGGCTTTAGACACCTTGAGTTGAATATTTTGCAACTGACATTTTGAGTAATTAAAAATAGGGAGAGTAAGGGGTTTTTTTTTTTGGGGGGGGGGGGTAAGTGGTATGATACATATGACAACAACATGTATTATGAAATGTTTAAGAACAAATGTAAATATGGAGAATTCCATATTGATATTTTATCTTGATTTCAGGTTCTTGGCATCCAAGTGAAGTGCTTCCATGAAATTATCACCATAGGTTATAGAGTCTATCGCTCTTATGACCTGCCATGGTTTAGAACACTAAGCTGGTAAGTCACGTAAAATTTTTTAGATGGCAGATTCTTTTGTGAAGTTCATACAGCCAGTATCATGGTTAGTCAGTACTCACTAGTTGAATGTATAGATTGAGAAAATAAATGGAAAGAATGTAATTGAAATTTGAAAAAAAAGATTATCACCTTAGACCTAATATTCCAGCACAGCTATTCTTATATCTTTGTAGTATATGTAATTTATATTGCATATATATATATATATATATATATATATATCATACATTGTTCTTGTTCTTTTTTAAAAAATCATTATTACACATATTTTATATCCTTTATAATTATAATTATGCTTGGATCCACCATCAACACTTGTGGAAACAACAGTCAAGAAGTCAAACGATGTTTGATTTGAATTAGACAAAAATGTTACACAAGACCTCTTTAAGATGTTCAAGAGCAAAAATGTCAGTTTGAGGACTAAGGTGTGACTGATGCAAGCCATGGTATTCAATAGCCTCATATGCATGTGAAAGTTGGACAGTGAATAAGGAAAACTGTAGAAGAGTTGATGCATTCAAGTTATGATGTTGGAGAAGAATACTGAATGTACCATAGACTGCCAGAAAAACAAACAAATCTGTGTTGGAAGAAGTACAAACAGAATGCTCCTTAGAAACCAAGATGGCAAGACTTCATCTTTCATAATTCGGACATATTATCAGGAGGGACCAGCCCCTAGAGAAGGACATCTTGATTGGTAAAGTGGAGGGTCAGCGAAAAAAAGGTGGATCCTCACTACGATGGATTAGTGCAGTAGCAACAATAATGGGCTCAAGTACAGCAGCAATTGTCAGGGAGGGTGGCACAGGACCAGGCAGTGTTTTGTTCAGTTTTACATAGAAACATTGTGACTCAGAATCGACTTGATGGCACTTAACAACAACAGAATTTAATTTTAACAAAGTTTAGTTCTGTAAAATGATACAAACATCTATCTTTATTTCCCTCAGCTGATATGAGACTATCAAAAATATTGAATAATATTGTATAAATGTGCAAAGTTAGTTAAAAGTCATTTAAAGTTAGTTAAAAATTATCAAATGATCATATCTCTTAGAAACTTCTCAAGTTTAATTCTTAGCTGTTACAACCTTGACAAGAACGTGATAGTGTTATTTAACCTAATTGGTCATGCCTTTTAATATTGCTACTGGATTACTATTGTTAGAAGAGCCAAAGTGTTATTAAAACAGATGTACCACCTTTGGAAATTATTATAGTAAAGAAAAAAGTTTCTTACTTTTTGTGATCATATTATATAATTTAGATCCTATTTTCCATGAAGCATCTTTTTAAAACAACAAAAATGTCAGCAAGTAACTTATTATAATAAATGTACAGGTGAAAGATATAAAGAGTGAGCTGATTTTTCCTCCTAGCAAATTTATTCGTGAGAAGCGTGTTAGGTAGATAAAGTAAAATTAGAGAAAAATTAAATACTGGTCCGGGCAGGATTGATTCTATGTAGAAAAAGAAAAGGATGGGCTCCATTGATTTCTAGAAGGGCACATGGAGGAGGTGGGATATAAGCTGGCACTGGAAATAAAGACAAGGTTTGGATAGATGAGAGTGTTCTGAGTTGGGGACACAACAGCCATCAGGATTTAGAGGTGGGATACATGTGCATGTACTACCCGGAATGTGAGATCTATGGCCCTCTTGACAAGAAGGTATTTATCGAGGAATAATGGACAAAGGGCTGGATTGGCAATTTGGGGGTCTTGATTGCCTTACAGAGAAATCAAGGATGGTTTTCATTGCAAAACAATAGAAAAATGGTCCTGAGAATGAGAATATTTGTCCTTTACTTTGGGAACTCCAGTCTCATTCATACAGATACAAATTCCTGATGCCCCCATGTGTTAGAATAGAACTGCCCTCCATAGAGTCTTCAGTGGCTGGCTTTTTAGAAATAGATTCACTAGATCTTTATTCCAAGGTCCCGCTGGGTGGATTTGGACCACAATTTTTTAGGTAAGTAGCTGAGTTCTTAACCCTTGGTGCTATTTGGGGATGCCTACTTTGGGAATTGGGAGTCCTGGTGTGGTGCACTGTGAGTTAATGTGCCAGACTGCAAACCCATTTGAACTGCAAGGTCAGCAGTTCAAGTTCACCAGCTGCTCTTCGGAAACCCTATACAGAGTCACTATGGGTCAGAACTGACTCAATAGAACTTCACAACAACAACACAACAATTTTGGGAATTGTTGTTTTTGTTAGGTGCCATTGAGTCGTTACTGACTCATGGCAAACCTATGCACAACAGAACGAAACACTGCCCAATCCTGGGCTAAGCTCACAATTGTTGTCACGCTTGAGCCCACTGATGCTGTCACAGTCCATCTCGTTGGGGGTCTTCCTCTTTTTCTCTGACACTCCACCTTACCAAACATGATATCCTTCTCCAGCGACTGGTCCCTCCTGACAATATGCCCGAAGTATGACAGATGAGGTTTGGCCATCTTGGCCTCCAAGGAGCATTCTAGCTGTACTTCTTCCAAAACGGATCTGTTGGTTCTTTTGGCAGCCTATGGCACTTTCAACATTCTCCTCCAACACCATAACTCAAAAGCATCAATTCTTCTATACAGTCTTCCTTATTCACTGTCCAGCTTTTGCATGCATAAGAGGTTATTGAAAATACCATGGCTTGGGTCAGGCACACCTTAGGCCTCAAGATGACATCTTTGCTCTTCAACACTTTAAAAATGTCTTATGCAGCAGATTTGCCTAATGCAATCCATTGTTTGATTTCTTGACTGCTGGGAATAATTTAGTCTAATTCCATAAAAGAGTTGTTGTTAAGTGCTGTTGAATTGGTTCTAACTCATATTGACCCTTTATAGGAACTCCAAGTAGAGGTTCAAACTAACGTTGCAGTCCAGCACATTAACCCACAGCACCACACCAGGACTTCCTAGTACTAGTGGGAAACTATACCTCTTCCATGGTCCTCCTAATTAGTTAGAACCTTCTTCAAAGGATGAACCAAGCAGGAATTCTCCAGTAGTGTTTTTCAGCCTTTTTCTGGCTCACTCAAGGGTCCACCAGTAAAATCTCAATGGGTCACTCCCTCATGTAGGGAGGGAACATATTAGAACTGGGAGAAAGAGACAACTTAGGTAGTTTTTAGACGCTTCTCTTAAGAGATTTATACCAGCCTCCACTTCCTATCTATAGCTGCTACCCCTGCTTATGCTCAGATGGAATCCATCTGGAACATTGAGGGGAAGGAGGAAGGTAACAGTTGGTGCAGGCAGTAGGGAGAAGGGTTGTTAATTGAAAGTTTCCACAGGTGGAAACTGTGGTGGTCTGTTCCCATAAGATTACAGCCTAGGAAACTGTGGGGTAGGGCTGTTCTGTCCTCTAAGCTTGCTGAGTTGGAATCAACTCTATGGCACCTAACCACAACAGGGCAGGTGGAAATTTGTCTAGAGCCTTTCCTATTAAAAAGTATTAGAAGTGGAAGTCACCTGTTTTGAATTTAATATCTGTGTGTGTTGCATGTATGTGTGTGTTCACCACACAGACTTGATGAGGAGAGCAGTGTTTTCTGTATTGTTTCCTAATCATCTCTTACTGCCATTAGATGTTGAACTAATAAAATGCATGAACCATATTTAGCAATCAGTGTAGACAGGTAAGTGTGACATTAGGTTTATAAAGGAAAATAGTACTTTGGTGGGGTTTTTGAAGGGACTTCTAAAAGTTCATGGAGAAATTCCATTCTCTTTTCATCTTTGGAGCCTCCCTTTAATATCCTGAATTGGTCTTGTGAACTTGGTTTTGGTCTTTTTGTGTGTGTGTGTCATCATTGAAACTTTGTTGAGGTGTGAAAAGTGTCCAAAAAAAACCTATTTTTTTTTTAATTGTAGGTACTTTCTGCTGTGTGTAAACTACTTTTTCTATGGAGAGACTGTAGCGGATTATTTTGCTACATTTGTTCAAAGAGAAGAGCAACTTCAATTCCTTATTCGCTACCATAGATTTATATCATTTGCCCTCTATCTAGCAGGTAAGCTGAGGAAAATTTTCTGTATTGATGTGTAGCTAATGTATTTTCTATGTTTATTTTGCTTATATGATTTAAATTTATGGCAGTCTTTATTTGACTAAGTGTGGCACAGTAGGATAAGCCCTGGACTACTAACCACAAGGTCAGCAGTCAAACCCACTAGCAATAAAAACAAAAAAAAACAATTTTTGATAAAGGAAACGAGGGTAAATTGCTACAATTTGATGAGCCTGACCTATACACATGGAGGTGGTAATTCTAAATACCACAGAGAGGGAAGGAGTCTTCCCATCAACTATCAATGCTATCCCCTCTATACACAGGGTAGATAGGGACGGGCAACTTAGACATTGGCTACCTAAAATGAGGGGGCGATAAAGGCACAAAGTGACTGGCTTACAAGGTTTCAAGAGGGAGTTTAGTTTAAGAGTATGTGAGGGAAGATAGAGTCCCCACTGAGTAGTTTTCATCTTGTCTAGATGGGTCTGATAAAAAGAGATGGGGATAAGATTCTTATGAGTCAATAGTAAGTGTTATCATGACTAATAGCGACTTTCACGATTGTAAAGGTAGAAGTTTTATAACAAAAATGGGCGAGTAGTTAATCTTACAGTCCAGAATCAGAGGACCCTAGGACCATCAAGGGAGAAGAGCACAAGTGAAATGTGGGACCTTACCTAGAGAAGCACAGACACCAGAGACGGGGAAATGGAGAGGGAGCAGCTGAGGATTCGAGATTCATGGGAAGAGAGGGACTGAGAGCTGGTGGCCAGGAGGCAGCCTTGCAGAAAGTGCACTTTGGTGGTTTAAATTATTATATATGCCTGAGTGTTTGGGAAAAAAAAAAAAAAAAAAGCTAAAATGAATAGAGAGAAATACTGTTAACTGATGGTACATAATGCAGATTATAGTCATTGTAATGAAACAAGGTGTATGATTTGTTGAATGTAAAACTGATGATCTGCCCTGTAAACTTTCACTTCATTAACAATAAAAACACTAAAAAAAAAATGTTAGCAGTTCCTTGGAAACCCTATACAGGGTCCTCCCTATGAGACTGAACTGACTCCATGGCACTTAACACCCACCACCAACAAAGAGTTCTATGTTTATCAGTACATGTTTGTGACTTTTTTTGTTGTTAGAAACAAAAGGTGAATTTATTTTGTAAAATGTGGATTAGATTTTGGAATGGCTTCTTGGCTATCATAGGAGAAAATACTCATATTTAGACTAATGCTTCATTTCTGGCATTTGAGTCTTAAAAAATTAATACCAGTTTCCCCAATTTATGACATTTGAAGTACATTGAACTGCACTTACAGGTATATTAGTAAAATGTTCTGCCTGCAATATTACAACACATAATTTGATATGATTATCATTCTCATGACAATCCCCAAAGATAAAGATCACAGTTTTAAAGATAAGGATAATAGATGGCAATTATAATGGGGAAAAAAAAGAAAGATTCAACTTCCACGAGAACTGACTTATTATGGAATTGTTGAAAGGGAGCCCATCAAAAGTCAGTGACTACCCATGTTAGCTAGAAAAGTGTCTCTATTGACTTTATTATTGAACCTGATGATTTCACTTTTTTTCATGCAATTATTCTTGTAGTTATTTGATGGCAAAGTTAAAACTAAGTAAAAATTAAATAATTTGTACCGTTAGTACAGGTACATCAGTTTAAAAATCACATTGTTTTCAGAAGACTTATAATGTCACCAGCCACCTTGCACCTACCACTCAGCCTCACGTCAGAGTTTTGAGCCATTTCTTGTATTTTTTCCATTTTCTATGCAATATGCTCATTTCTAACTTATTTTAGATAGTATCTACTGATTTCCTGTTATGAAGTGTCTCACATCTCCTTTAGATACCTTGTAGTTGTGTATTATTGTTGTTTTTTAAATATAGTCACTATTTACATAATTAAATGGGTCTTTAAAATCCCCTTTTCGATGAAGTACACAGCAGCAAACACGGTTGTCTTGGTGATAACTTTTCTATCCTTTTACAACTGTCTCTTTTCCCCCTGAAGTAAGTAACTGCCTTGCCTTCTGTTGTCCACATTTGTAATTTCCCATCTTGGCATCCCTAATGTCACCTTTAAATCTGTCACTATCTGCTGATAGTTTTTTCAGAAGTTCACACAAACCAGTGAGCCAATTCTTTCATTTCCTGTAGACCTCTGTCCCATAGCCCTCTGCATTCCTGCTTCTATTTGGACTGGCTATTTGTAGGTTTGGAGTCCTGGTGTGGTGCTGTAGCATAAGCACTGGACCACAAGGTCAGTTTGAACCACAAGGTCAGCTGTTCAGACTCACCAGCTGCTTCTCGGAAACCCTATCCAGGGTTACTATGAGTCAGAGCTGACTCGAGGACGCTTAACAACAACAAGTTGTAGGTTTGCAGTCTACCTCTCATGATGTACACATACCCAGCTTTCCATTTCTTCTCTCCCACTCTTCAAGTTTCTCAGTTAAAATCCTAATTTTGCTGAAGCTTGACCACTGGTAATTTCTTATGAAATGGTGCTTAGAAGATAAAGGTCTTATGTTCATGCATACCTAAAAATAGCTTTCTTCTGTTGGGATACTTAATTGATTTAACTAGGTCTCATTCTTATTTTTGCCAGACTTTGACTTGATGTCCATTTTAGAAGCCCAGACTTCACTCTTGCCATCCACCGAGCCTTTTCTGTTCTGTAGAAAATATCTGTAATTGCCCCTGATTTCTCAGGTCTGTTAAGTCTACTTTCCAGTTTCCAAATTCTGCTAACAGTTGTCTTCTATTCTCCTTGACATTTCTTCCATTCTCTTTGTTAATGTGGGGCTTGACCTTAATTTTTTTCAAATGTTACTTTTAAGGATAACAGGATGGAATGGAAATAAATACACCTAATCCAGTTGTCATTTTTTCAAACAGAAGCATTTAACTAGTTTACAAAAAAAAAAAAAAAAAATCCCCTTGGTCTGAAGAAAAACAATTTTCTTGTTTTCTCTCGTGGTTCAGTGGATTGCCTGGGTGTCCCTGGGCATTTCTAACTTCCAACAAAAAAACAACTTACCGTTGAGTTGATTCTGATTCTTGGTGACCATGTGTATCAGAGAACTGTGCTCCATAGGGATTTTAATTGCTGTGTTTCAGAAGTAGCTCTCCAGGCCTTTCTGTGGGTGGACTTTGAACTTTCAACAATTTGGTAGCAGCCAATTGCATTCATCAGCTGTTTGCACACCCTGAGATGCCAATTAGATGGATGCCAGTCATTTGAAGGCTTGAGTGGGCTGGCCATCTGAAATGGCTCATTCTCCATGTGGCTAGGACTTACCATAGCATGGCAGCAGGTCTCAGAGTGAAGAGTTTGCCAAAAGCCAAGCAGTCCAAGAGTCCTTAAGTGGCTTTCTTTCTTTCTTGTTCTTAACTCAGTTTGAAAAGTGAAAATATAATACTTGAGGGCTTTAAAAAAGTTTGCGAGAAAATTACATTATCTTTTAATTCCACTTTCCATGAACTTTTTGAAATGTCATGGTTTTATGTTTTCACTTTTTAAAAAATGAGTTAAGGATGGGGGGGAAAAAAGGAAATTAGTTAAGGACTTTTGGAATATGTGGATGTTGGCATACTCTTAGTATATACCCATAGTAAAAATTGAGACTATAAAACGGTATATAATGAAATCTCCCTTCTGCCATAGAACTTCATGTTTTGTCTCTAGGGGCTTACTACTGTTAACTCATGTATTCAGACCAATTCTGAGCTGATTGTGAAGTGTCCTCAAGTGGATTCTGACCCATAGCGACCCTATGTAGGGTTTCCAAGGAGCGGCTGGTAGCTTTGAACCACCAACCTTGCAATTAGCAGTCCAGTGCTTATCCTAAAGTGCCATACCAGGACTCTATATTCTGAGTAGTCAAGCTTATGTTTTTATATTTCCCTCTGGTTCTTTATAAAATGAGAGCAGACTAGTCTGCTATTGTATATAGACTATTCAATACCTGTTTTTTCTACGTAATGTAACTTTATAGGTGGTTTTATAACAGCCCATCTAGCTGGCTGTATCTTGCTGCCTTGTTGCTGTTGTTTTCATATCTATGGTATGCTTCAGTTACTCTGTTTTTATGCAAACACTATGCTTACTGTAGGATAAAGCACTGGACCGCAAGGTCAGTTTGAACTAAAAGGTCGGTGGTTCAAACTCACCAACTGCTCCTCAGAAACCCTATACAGGTTCACTATGAGTCAGAACCGACTTGATGGCACTTAACAACAACATATAATACAGTCTATCTGTATTGATGAATCTATGGAAATATTTGATGGGTACAATGTCAGTACATAAGGTGACTACAGTTTCTTGGCTTATTTATCTTCTAATTTGCTGTAACTTATATGAGGGTGGCTTCACAAAGTTTGTGGGAAAATTCCATTACCTTTTTTTAAAAACTTTTTATTGTGCATTGAGTGGTAGTTTACATTGGAGAACATCAGTTTTGCACTCATCCTATCATATTTTGTATAATTGCAATGATTACAATCCCCTCCATGCATCATCAGTCAACAATATTTGCTTCTGTTCCCTCTGGGGTTTTTGTTGTTGTTGTTGTTGTTTGTTTTGATGTACACAAAAACACTCAGGTACATAAAATCATTTAAACAACCCAATGGCACATTCTACAAGCCTGCCTCCTGACCGCCAACACACAGCCTTTCTCTTTCCATGAGTCTGGAGTTCTCAGCTGCTGCCTCTCTTCATGTCATCATCTTTGCCTCCATCTCTGGTGTCGCTGTGAAACTTTCATTACCTTTTAATTCTGGTTTCCCACGAAAGTTTTGAAGCCTCCTCGTCGTACTTGAGAAAAGCTTCTAAATAGTGTAATTCGTTTTCTTTGTTTTTTCTGTTTACACATGTTATACACAGTGTCCTTCTAGTCAGCCTCCTTTTAGTGACTGCTTTGCAATAATGTTTGGCTCAGCTTTTAAAAAATAGAATA